ACTTTCTTAATGCGTGTGGAGAGGTAGATTGAGAGAGGGGATGGATAAGTGGAAGAGACAAGTTGGGAAGCTTGAGAACCAGCAAGAGATGAAGGTCGCTTGGGCCAGGATGGAGCAGTGGATGTGGAGAGCAGCGGATGTGGAGAGCAGCACACCACACACATCTGAGAATGATTTCAGACGTAGGTGCAGGACTCAGTGTTTCCCTCCCTCTTTCCTCCTAGCTGCTCCTCCCTTACTGCTCCCACCTGAGCTCACAGATGCCCCACACCTACAGTCTTCATCTGAAAACCTGTGAGAAAAGATTATTAAGTCTAAATTTTGGAGTGGTTACACAGCAATACTGTAGCAATAGGTAACTAGTGTGCACAGGCAAAGATGGGGGTAAAACCAACACACGTTCACAATTGTTCAATGTGACATTAATTGTAATAGCAAAATTTTGGAGACCATTTAAATGCCTGTTACTGAACAGATTATGGTATGTCCACACATGGAGTATTACACAGCTGTAAAACACAGAATAAAGAAGACCGTTATGAGCTTATATGAAGTGACTTCTAGATGATATTTTAGGGTTAAAGAAAAAACAGTGCAAAAGAGTATTATGAAGGATGTTATCTTTTGTGTGAGGAGGAAGGGGAAACACATACATTTTTTCAAAAAGAAATGTAAGAAGGGTAAACCAGAAACAAATACAATGGATTTTTTTTTTTGTTTTTTTTGAGACAGGATCTCGCTGTTACCCAGGCTGGAGGGCACTGGCACAATCGCAGCTCACTGCAGCCTCCACCTTCCAGGCTCAAGTGATCCTCCTACTTCAGCCTCCCAAGTAGCTATGCCTACAGGCATGTGCCACCATTTTTATTTTAAATTTTATTAAAAATTTAAATATTGTTTTTTACCTGAACTACACAGATGTAAAAAATTTTATTTTTCTAAAAAGATGCAACAAATTACTTCTTACTGTAAATGACAATTTATAATTGTATAAATTTATGGGTTACAAAATGATGTCATAATCTGTGGCTACAATGTGGAATAATTAAATCAAACTAGTTAACATATCTATCACTTCAAATACTTAGCATTTTGTAGTGAGAACATTTGAAATTTACTCTAAGCAATTTTGAAATGTATAATACTCTACTAACTATATTCACCACACTGTGCAACAGAACTCAAAAAAATTATAAAATATATTCTTCCCGTTGGAGATTTTGTACTCTTTGACCATCATTTAAATTTTTTAAATGCAATAAAATACCAATTTCAAAACAGCATGAAAAATTGAGTGTGTTTAACCATACTCAGCTGATAATAGGGCAAATGAGTTGAACAGAATAACATTCTATTGCATGTTTAATGAACTGGCAACAAGAGAAAGTTGGTGGAAGAAAGGCAGAGGAACTTGGGCAAGAATTAGAACCCAGGGGCTCCACAATCATCTGACATCAGTTCCCATGTTCTCTCTGTGGTTAGAAATGTACGTGATAGGAACTCCAGGAGTCTTAGGGTTCTTCTTTCAAGGTTTGTGGCTATAGCATTTATGCCGAGTTACTTTCTGTGCTAAGCAGTCATCTGCATAGATTCCCTCCTGTGCATGGTAGTTTGGTAATCGTTCAAATTTCGTATCCTTGGCGATCCTTTAAGCCCCTTGATATTTCTGCCCCATTTTCTCAGTTTCAGCCATTACACAATCAGTTATACAAGGGATACACCTGGCATATAGACAGTTCATCACTGACTGCAGTATGTCTAGTTTGGCTCTAATGGAAAAGTTGGTAACACTGGACTCAAACAGGATGTGGTAAAGTAGACCCAGCTGTGTAATATATTGGAAAAATAAGCAGGAAGGGTATTGGGGAACTTTTCTTTCCTTAAGAATGCTGGGATATTTCTTTTCTTTTTAGGTCTTTATCATTTTATTTAAGCCTGTGGTATCAGAGACTAAGCATTCGCTTCCTGGTCAGACTTCCTTGTTTTCTTTTGCTCTCCCATGCTCATGTCATACTCTTGTTTATTTTTTTAAGACAGGGTCTCACTCTGTCACCCAGGCTGGAGTGCAGTGGCTCAAACTGCAGTGAAGCGTCAACCTCTCAGGCTCAAGCAATCCTCCCACTTTGCCTCCCAAATGGCTGGGACACAAGCATGCACCACCACACCCAGCTAATTTTTTTATTTTTATTTTTGTAGACACAGGGGTCTCACCATATTGCCCAGGGGTCTCAAACTCCTGGACTTCAGTGATCCTCCCACTTCAGCCTCCCAAAGTGTTGAAATTACAGGCATGAGCCACCGCGCCCAGCCTATTTTTACTTTTATAGAGACAGGGTCTCACTATGTTGCCCAGGCTGCAATTGGTTTGCTACAGGGAATGGTTTTTTGTTTTTTTTGTTTTTGTTTTATTTTTATTTATTTTTTGAGACGGAGTCTCACTCCGTCACCCAGGCTGGAATGCAGTGGCGCAATCTCAGCTCACTGCAAACTCTGCCTCCCGGGTTCACGCCATTCTCCTGCCTCAGCCTCCCAAGTAGCTGGAACTACAGGCGCCCGCCACCACGCTGGGCTAATTTTTTGTATTTTTAGTAGAGATGGCGTTTCACTGTGTTAGCCAGGATGGTCTCAATCTCCTGACCTCATGATTCGCCTGCCTTGGCCTCTCAAAGTGCTGGGATTACAGGCGTGAGCCACCGCATCTGGCCATCTAAACTTAACTATCTCCCAAATGTCCCATTTCCAAATGTCATCACATTGGGGGTTAGGGCTTCAACATATGAATTTTAGGGGGATATAATTCCGTCCATAGACTTTTCTTTTTTGGTGGACCTGGGTGCTGGGTGTGGTCATTACTATTGGAGTGTCATTGCTCTCATGTCAGTGCAATGGACTATACGTACCTACATACATACAGAAACATTTACATCTATCTCTATAGATTGAAAAACGAGTTCACACTGATATCTCCAATTTGACACCACACGGTTTATTCTAGTTTTCTCCTTTCCATATTTATGAGAGCCAGGTTTTTATGAGACAACTATATTGGGAGATAATTCCGTGTCTCTCGTGCTTCTGGGTGTCTTGTGGGCTGAGATGTTGACAGATTTTGTTCCAGACTATTTCAAGGATTTTTTTTTTTTTT